CCATCATATGTCAATTTACTTAAGTATTAATAAAAGTCTGGGGCAGGAGCTACACCCCAAATATTAAAAAAAAAAAATAAAAAAAAATAATTTGAATTAATTTGCTTTTGTGCAATTCATTGATTTTTTTTTATATTATAACTTGTATCAAAGCATCCACTATAAATTGTTTTCAAATATAAGCAAAGCTTATTAGAATCTATATTTTTTGAATTTTGAACTGATATATTTTGATAATTAATTAAATTTGGTATACAAATATTAACTAATTTAGAAATACAAGTTGCAAAATGCTTATCATTAGTAGTAACTGAAGTAGTTGGCCAATATATTGAATATATTGCATAGTAGTCATCAATATTAAAAATATAAAAACTATTATTCTGTAAATATATTAAGATAAGTAAATTTTTTTTATTTAATAAAATAAATTAATATTAAATTACTTATATTAGTAGTAAAATATTTGTTAATTTCTTTAGAATGATTAATTGCTATTTTTTTTTATATTTATTAACTGTTTTTGAACAAGAGCAAAAACTCATTGCTGATAATATTTCAATATCTTCTCTTGAAGTTCCACAAGCTGCTAAATAAAGCCCAATTTCCAGTTTTAAATCATTAACAAATTTATTATCTAAACCGGCTAGAAGGTAACAAAATCCAATAGTAGCTTTTTTTTTATTTTTATAAGTTTTTTCTGATCTTGTTTGAGGATTTATTGTATTACAGTCGATACTGTCTAATTGTATATTGTCTAATTGCATATACTCTCTAAATGCATAGAAATTTTTGATTTTAATTATTAATGCAAAAATGATTCTTATGACTTAAATGCATATATTGTCTATATACATAAAAAAAGTCTCTACAGATAATATGCAATTAGACAGTACTGACTATAATTAACTTATTAAAAAATCTCTGCAATTTTGGTTCTTTTCTTTCAATAAGAAGACAAAATTGATTCAGATCTAATTCTATTGAAAGATGCTGTTTTCTTTGTATATCATAAAGTACTTTTATCAAAAGTTGTAACTGCTCTTCAAAAGATAAGCCTAAAAAAATAATAATTACTATATTTGTAATAATTAGGTAGCTAGAATATATAATTATTTATTAAAATAAAAAAATTAATATATTGTCTTGATCTTTATTTAATATATCTGATTGTATAATATTATTATTTAAATCAAAATTTAACAAGCTACTTTAAGATATAGCTTTTTTATTTTTTGATTTATATCGATCTAGTTCAACGATATTATTGTAATGCTTTTGGCAAATTTTATTGCCAATTTTTAGATAACGAAATGTATCGAATGTTTTTTTTATTTTTGCTTTTTTATATGCTAATTTGATAAATTTATGAATTCTTGTACCTTGCTCATTACAATTATATACTGCACAGTATTTAATATTAGTCGAAGCCATTTTTAAACAGTTTTGTTAAAAAGTATTAATTATACTTTTCGTATCTTGTAATTATTAATAATACAAAATTTAACCAATCAGAGTTAAAATTATTATCAGATAATTTAAAATTGATCTACATTTTTATAACCAATCATAAGAAATTCTACTATGCTGTTTACATGTAAACCATATAATACTATATGATGTTGGTTACACAAAGTTGATCTACAATCTATTTTATATGAAAAAATATACTTATATAGAAGATAACTATAGAGAGATTTGATTATATTATATACTATATACTATACAATATTAATACTATAAAACATTATTTTTTAATAGCAAATAATTTTAGTTTTTATCCAAATTTTAACTTTAAAAAAAATATATTTAATCAAGTTAAGCATTACAAGTTTTGTAAATTAAATTCTTCTTTAATTTTTTAAAAAAATTTATATATGTGTATATACAAATTTTATTTCAATAATTTTATATATATAAAAAATATGTATATATATCTGATATAGTATAACTCGAGCTATACGACACATAATCCGAATCAATAATTTATTATATATATTAAAAAAATAATATATAAAAATAGTCCGTGCTATACTCCAGATACACTTAGATACGATATTTTTAAAATACGTATCCAAAGTTTCAAAAATAATTTAAATTTTATGTCAAAAAAATGGGAAAAAAATTAATGTACAAAAAAACATAGATTACATGAAAATATCAATTTTTTTTTTATAAATATCTTTAATTGTAAACCACATATTTCTTCTTCTTTTGTCTCCTAGTAACAACTCTCCATTCTTCTTCCTCACCACTATTGCTATTATTGCTACTAGAGTCGCTTACATCTTTTCCGATACAAGCAAATGCATGTTCTCTGCTTGCAGTCCGTTTATGTAGTGGTGTTTGTTGGTTTAGTAGTTGGTTAGTTGAGGGAGCATTAATCCCCGGTATTGCCTAATTTAAAAATGAATGACAAAATGTAATGTCAGAAAATTTTGTAATTTTTAGATTATTGGTTAAAATTAACCAATTAAATAAAAGTATTAGCAAAATTGAATTCTATATACTTTCAAAGTTTTATATAAAAATTGTATATGGTATAAATTACCATCGCAGAAGTTTAAGGAATTAAAACTTTCAAAATATATGTAATTTTTTATCGCGAATAACTTTACTTAATGGCACTAACCGATTTGCTTGACGCTAAATAAGGGTCAAATAATAAGAATAATCTATATATACTCTACCAAAAATTCATGTTCACTGGTATCATCAGCTTTTGTTGAACCATCATCATCATCATCTTTTGTTGAATTTGTTGAACCATCATCATATTCTGAATCAGTATATTCATCAGCTTCTTCCTCCACCACTACAAAACTTTTTTGTTTCTCACGTTCATTCCATCTTAAACATCTTGATATTGAATTAAACCAATCTTTAGATTGAGATTCTAGACATACAGTAGGGAAAGGGAATTTTGATGGTGTAACTTTTATGTGATCACCCTCTGGAAGAAAAAAAAAAAATTCAGATTTTAATGTTAAAATTAACCAAAGTTTTAATAAAAATTTAAATAAGAGAAAAAGAAATTACGTCTTAATTCGACTCTCCCTCGTCCATCAAAGCTTGCCCATGCAGTACTACGACTATTATAAGGGACACATATTCTTAATTCCATTGAATCTGGTAAGAGCATTGGTCGAAAGGATAGAGTGTGTGGACAAATAGGAGTAATTAATAGAGCAGATATCGCGGGATGAACTAGAGAGCCACCGGCAGATACAGAATAAGCAGTTGAACCAGTAGGAGTAGATATTACAAGACCATCAGCTTGGACAGTTGTGAGATGTTGATCGTCACCTAATTATTGATGAAAGTAACAAAATAAATACGGAAAGAAAAAATAAATAAATAATCAAATAGATAATATAAAAAAAATGAATAGTATAAGAGAAATAAAGGAACATACCAAACAATTCTAGCAAACTCATATAAGGACCAGCACCTCGATCAACGACTAAATCGTTTAAAACTTGAAAAGTTTCAGCTGGTTGAGTGACTAAGCAAGGTAAATCTTTATCATGTTCGCATTCATGTCCACATTCATGTCCATTATGAGGATGGGGGCTTTCAATAGTATTCCAATCACAATCACTTTTTCCATCAACTACATGCTGCATCATTATTTCACCAGTTTCACTACAACGAGTTGCTTTTATGGGTTTGTTTATTCTTCGATAAACGGTACACGTAAATCTCATTCTTAGGTTTACACGTATGCCTTCATCCAAAGCATTTGTTATATGCTTTTTATAATCTTTAAAACTAAAATTTGTCAAGAAACCAAGAGAACCCATATGAAAAGGTAAAACTGGGGGAACGACTTTCTGAAATAACCATGAAGTGTATAATACAGTCCCATCACCACCGAGCTAATATATGAAAAGAACACGATCGATTAATAATTAATTGGAAAAAAAGATTGTATTAAAAAAAAAAAAAAAAATTACCGTAAGAACAAAATTAAATATTTCAGATCTTCTAGCGCACAGTTCTTTTGTCCAGAATTTCAAATAATCTTTTACGAAAGGAGACTCTTTTAACATGCCAGGATAATCCAAACGCTCTGATTCTTTTAAGCTTTTATCCACATATACAGTTACACCATGATCTTTGCCAAAGCGAGGAGTGGTGATCAAATACATAGCTAATTTGCGAGTAATATTTACTAAACGAAGATCACCAGGTTTAGTGACAACCATGACAGCTTGTATTGAACTATGAATACGAGCTTGTCCTATAAAAAAAAAAACCAAAATAAAATAAACTAGATTATTATATATATACATATATAGTTTGTTTTATATAAAAAAAAGCATAGATATGAAACTTGCCAAGTTTTTTTGATATCTCTCTAACACTAACAGCGGTCTCGGCCAAATTTGAATATTGAGTGATATCATCGTCAAAACGATTTATCATTTCTACTAGTGGCATTGAAACTGATGGATCAATATCTGAATGAACAAAACAAGGAGATTTTGGAGTAGGAGCAGGAGTAGGCAATTTTACATTAAGATTTTTTTGACGAAGTTTAGGAGGGTCAGGACGATTATTACGGGAGTTTGAATGATTAGGTTTGTCACCGTTCTTTTTATCATATATACTGTTTTTAATTATCGAAGTTGATTTTGAAGATGTAGAAGTCATTCTATGTGTTTTGAGAACTTTTTACTGAGGATTTTATATTTCCAACGCCTTAAAAAAAAAAAATATATATATATATATATATATAATGATCTATTAAATTTTTTAAATTAATTGATGATATCAAATAAAAATAAATCATTTTAGTAATATGATAATGAAATGACATAAAAAAAAGGTTAAAATTTATATTAAGCATTACTTACAAGAAATTTTCGATAGTTCCAGTTACTTTTATTGATCGAGACAGGAAAACATGAGATATGGAAGGCTTATTACGCAATACAAGACCACGAATAATAATAAATAATTATACGTACAAAATCAAATTTTATGTACTATTAAATAATTTTTTTAGTTTCGTGTCGAAGGTAATTGTCGGTTTTTTATGCATTTTTTTAAATTATATTGGATATCAGATAGCGATAAATTACTTATAATACTGTTTCAAACTATTTCCCCATTTGTTTTGTATTTTTGTAGCACAAGAAGCAGCGGTATTCCAGACTTGATGAATAAGACACTAATTTGGGACAGTTTTAGACAGTAAATTTTGCCGGTCCCTTTAAGATAAGTGAATGCTTGACCGCATATACATTTATGGAGTATATACAGGTTTGTAACAGGATAGAAATGAACATTAAATACCTTATAACTTTATAATGATAAGAGTGATAAAAATGAATGTTTACGCTAATACATTAGAAGATTTTATCTTTAGCACTATATAATTTTGAATTAAATTAAAATTTAAATTAATTTCATCGTATATAATTTTTTATAATTTTTTATAATTTTTTATAATTTTTTATTAAGTTTGTGAGAAACTAGAAAATTTCGAAACACTAGGAGTGTTTCAATGTCAAGCGTAACAAGCATCAATAAAAATGCTTGTCGCAAAGCAAAGGTTAAGGGTATACAATTATTTGATGCACTTTCCAATAACTTTATTTTAAAGGTGACTAGATAAGGAAAATGTTTTAATCAATCTCTACACGTGCATAAAGAAACGAAAATTTCTTTGTTGAATAATTAGAAAGATTGTTTCAAATTTTCTAATTGTTTAGAATAATAATTTTCTTCTCACCTTTATAAAATACTATTTTTACAAACAAGACTAGGATTGTCGGCCATTTTTAATATAGCAAATATGGAAATTCTTAAATACTTTTTGCTACAATAGTCAGTGTGTGACGTGGTGTGATGTTAAATAATTACAGGGTGAAACCCGCGATCAGGGCCCCTAGAAAATTTCGAAAAGATTAGAAAACAATAAATCGCAATTTTTACTGGATATCGCATTATAAAACAA